TCAATATAAGAATTGCAAAAATATGTTAAATCTTTGTTTCCATTGTGAAGATTTTGGTTTTACTGATAAAAGGAACTTTTTTGCAACTAGTCACGGTAAGCAACCTTGTGATGGGATAGGTGGTACAGTCAAACGTCTGGCAACACTAGCAAGTTTGCAAAGAGATATGGGTAATCATATTTTATCTCCACAAACAATGTATAAATATTGCAATGAAAACATTGAAGGCATAAATTTCATATATATTTCATCAGAAGATTTAACTTTGGTGAGAACCGCTCTTAAAGAACGATTGGATACTGCTAATACAATACCTGGAACATGTAGTTACCATCAATTTGTACCACTTGGCCATCAAAAGGTAAATTTTTATTTTTTAATTATACCTTTTACCATATTTTAAAATACACGCATAACTTTTATTGATAAACTCAAATAGATTTTTGCAGAATCATTATCAAAAATATTTTTATTTTAATTTATTTCCTCTGCATTTGCTATCTATGCATATAATAAAACATGTTTGATAAGTAAAATGGAATAATTGCATATGTTACTATTTTGTTTAGGTAGGCACTAAGCTATGCAATGTTGATGAAGAATTTGCTTTAATTCATGACTTTGGAAATATCCAGATAACAACTGTAAACCTAGTACCAGGTGATTATGCCTGTGTTTCTTATGATCAAAAGTGGTGGATAGGAGTCATTGAAGATATTAATTTAGAAGAAAAAGATGTGCTTGTAAAATTTATGTGTCCTAATGGTCCTGCACGGTCGTTTAAATGGCCACCAAAGGAAAGCCAATGCTGGATTCCTGATGTCCACATTATTTGCAAAGTTGAAGTACCGATAACAAAAACTGGACTTTGCTACTATTTAGCCAAAGAGGACTTAAAAAAAAATTTTTTTCCTAAGGAAGTAGAGATTTTTATTTTTATGAGTCTATTATGTCTTATCCATTCTTTTTTTAAGTATTATGTTTTGTGAACCAACTTGTAAAAAATGTGAATGTAAAGCATATATAAAATCACTAAAGTTTAGTAATAAAAAAAAAAAATTTATATATGTTTAAATTTTGTTGTAAATATCATATGAAAATGAAAAAGATAATAAAGTCACTAAATTTTTAGTTTCTAATTTGATTGATTGGTAAAAGGTGGGGTTATATTAAGTGTCTAATTTAAAAAATATTAAAAAATTTTGTGTCTATATCAAACATCAATAATTCCTCAAGTAAATAAAAGGCTAAAACAAAATTGGTTCGAAAAGTAGGTGTTGATCTTATTTTTAAGAAAATCAAAATTAAATTTTTTTTATATCAGTTATATATTTTTTTATAGCTATAATTGTCAATGCCCTTTTTTCTCGGCGTTATAAAGTGTATTTTATGGATCTTAAAATAAGCTACATTCCCTTGTTTTGACATATAAAAAACTATAATTTTCGGATTTAACAGGTTTTAAACTCTTTTGGTACAAAGTTTCAGAATTGTGGCATCACTATAAGCACCATATTAAGGTGAAAGTAAAATGAATGATTTTCGGCACTTATCCCCCCTCAGTTTTTAGTCAAAATCAAGGAAACTTCAAATTGCTGTAAATTATAAACGGTAAGGAATTTTATGAAAAAAAATTACAATCTTTCCTAACATATGTCTATAAACATTTGTGCCAAGTTTCAAAAATTTTGGTGATATAGGGTGTAGATTTGTGTTTTTTTGTGTTTTTTGAGAAATTTTTACCCAATAATATTTTTTAAATTAGCTTTTTAATTATAGTTTTTAAAGTGTGCCACTTTTTTCAGAGTGCTCAGGAAAGTTTCAGAATGTTTTTTAAAAGTGTGTCACAGAAAAAAATAAAAAAGTTTAAATTTTTCTTTTTTGTTGTTGATCTTTATCATAAGGAAGAATGGGGTACCATGATACATGGTGCACCATGAAACATAGTAATTGTGGAGGCATCTTAAGAGTTGTGTTAACTACTTTCATATGTTGAAACAGTTACTGTTGGAGCTGTTTTGAAAAAAAAATATCGTCAAATATTATCAGTCCTGCAAGTGCTCAAATTTTGTATTTTTCAGATGACAAATTAATATATTAGATTTAAAGTTGCTAAGTTTTAAGGTATAATAATTAATGTTTCTATCAGTAACATTATTTTCTAAACTACAATTCATAAGCTCTTTACTTCATTAAACAAAACTATTGAAAAAACAATTTGATACTAAAAGTAAAGCAATCATTTTTCTTTTAGAATTTATGGCTTAATTTGATACAGTATTTTTGGGGGACTCTAAAACTGTAGAATAATACTCCATAGTGTCATAAGGAATTATAAAAATCATTTCTTTTAATATCTACATCAATTTTTAAGAGAATTATGTAAATATAATATTAGGAGATCCTATTTCGATACAAGGCATTTATTGACGCTTAAGAATGACATTTAAAACGATACATTATCTGGATTTCTGAATTGTGGTTAAGACCATTGGATTCATTATTTGGCTTATAATTATTAATTTGTTTGTTTTTCAAGTCAAAATCTACCTTTTCTCTAAGTTTTATACTTTTTCTTTACTTTTTTAATGATACTTATAGTTTGATCAAGGTTCCCCATGAGTGGGGTACCTTGATCCAAACTTTACTTTTGCTTGGCAAGTTTAACCGGTTATATTTTAGTAATTAATAAATTTAATTTTGTAGGTAAATTTGTTCTACAAATTAAAATGGTCGCCTAAAAAAAAGGCTTATTAAAAATATTTTTACGTTGCAAAAACCAAGTGTATCATGGTACTCTTTCATACTTAAGTTCTTATATTAATTATAAGTATTTTTATGTCTCTTGTCAATATACACTCTTTTAAAAGTGTCTGTGGTGTGATATTCTTTGCGTCTTTTTGTCAGTATGTACTTCTTGAAAATTGTCTAAAATGTGATATTCCTATCATTCACCCAATTAAAAAAAAATGCTTTTACAAAATGCTTTTCAAAATAAAGAGTTATGCTGTATAAACATCAATTTTAAGAATGTAAAAAATGCAAAAGTTATTTTCAATATTTTGTTGCCATCATTGAGGTTCATACTTATTGTGTGGTCCTGAATTTCTAATACCTACTTTTTCTTTAAAATTAATTAGAATTCAATTCCAAAATATTAGCATCCTCCATGATTATTAATGTTACCTCATCATTAATCAGACTATTAATCAGATTGTCAATGTTACCTCCTCCATGCTTGACAGTCTCATACATTTAGGGTTTAGGTGTTCACCATTTTTTCTTTATTTGCGTATGGTACCATTAGAACCAAACAAACATATTTTTGTTTCATCAGACTATGAAACTCTTCGCCATTGATCAATAGTCCAATTTAAATGTTACTTAGTCCTAGCCAATCTTTTCTCTTGATTCTTTTTACTCAAAAAAGGCTTTTTTGAAGAAACTCTACCTACAAAACCTTGATTTTTCAAGCGATAGGAACAGTGTGAGGATTTACAGTTGTATCATGATCTGTTTGTAAATCTTTCGCTAGCTTTAATGCAGATAATCCTCGATCTTATTCAACTTTTCAAATAACTTCTCTGTTATTTGTTATGTACATATATATAAATTAGTAGAAAATCACTTAACAAATTTTTTTTTCATTTTACACTGTTTTATCAATAAAGGGTCATCAAAAATTTATTGATAAAACACAGTGTAAAATGAAAAAAAATTTTAAGTGATTTTCTAATAATTTATAATTGCTCTGTTCTTTTAACATTAAGCACTCTATTTTGTAGAATACATTTTAAAATTGTTTAAATATATATATATGTATATATATATATATATATATATATATATATATATATATATATATATATATATATATATATATATGTATATGTATATATATATATATATATATATATATATATATATATATATATATATTATATATATATGTGTATATATATATATATATATATGTATATATATATATGTATATATATATATATATATATATATATATATACATATATATATATATATATATATATATATATATATATATATATATATATATATATATGTAATATATATATATATATATATATATATATATATATATATATATATATATATATATATATATATATATATATATATATATATATACAAAGGTTGTTGTAAGGCATCTGTTGTTTTTCTTTTACCAAACTCTGGCTATTAACTCAGGATGGTCTTAGTTCCAGACCAAAATAATTTTTTTTTGACATTTAAGTAGAACTGCAAAAATATCTATCATCCATTTGTATCAAAGGAAACTGATGTTTTGCAGTGGTGGAAGAGCATAGCACAATCATCATCAGCTTTTTTCAGAAAAAGCTTTAAATTTTTTTTGAAATTTCTTTTTTTAACATTTTTTTTAATGCAAATTTTCAATTAGTCATTTTTTTTTCAAATTGCTGTTGTATTTCTTTTATTTCCAACTTGGAAAAGATGAACCATGACATAAAAAGTACTTCCAGGGGTGTTATGGAGTTTGAACTCTGCACTTCATTCTTTTATGTTGTATAATAGAAATAAAGCTAACATTTACAAAAAATTTTAATTATATTTTAAGTTAAGTTAAATGATCAAAATACTTCTTGCACTTCTGTTGATGTACACTCAACTGCATCTATCTCTAGATAGGCAATTGATTATATGTAAAACAAAAACAAAAAAGTAAAATTAAGCAAATAAAATTGAATAACAAAAGAATTAAAACAATAAAAAAAGTAGTAAAACATTCTAAATGTATATATATATATATATATATATATATATATATATATATATATATATATATATATATATATATATATATATATATATATATATATATATATATGCACATATAAATTAGTTTTTATATTAAATATATAAAAAACTAGTTTGTAAATAATTCAAAAAATTAAGTGTTATTAAAGCTTTTTTAAATAATTTGCATTAAATTTTGTATTTTTTAGATGGATGAGTGTATTTATATTGTTAAATCAGGACAGCTCAACTTAAATCTTGTATATAAGGTAGTGATGCTTAAATTACAAATATTATACATATATATATATATATATATATATATATATATATATATATATATATATATATATATATTATATATATATATATATATATATATATATATATATATATATATATATATATATATATTATTATTATTGTTATTATTTTTATTATTATTTATGTTTAGAAAGGTACAGAGATGCTGTTAAAGAAAGTAAAAGCAGGAGAAAATATCCACAGTGTTATGAACATTCTAGATGCACTCAGGGTATATTTTGAGTTTTTTTTTTTTTTTTAATTAAAAAAAAAAAAATGAATATAATCAGGTACAACAAAAATAAGTAAATATGAGCATACTAAAAAATCTGTCAAAAATAATTTTTCTTAATGAGCAACAGAAATAACAAGGACATTCTCCATAGCCTGTGCTAGAATTTAAAACATTTCATTTGATACAGGATGTTTAAGTAAAGACTATTTTTGTAAACATTATTTCAAAGTTATAGTTCAGTTATTATGAAATTTTCATATATATATATATATATATATATATATATATATATATATATATATATATATATATATATATATATATATATATATATATATATATATATATATATATATACATACATATATATATATATATATATATATATATATATATATATATATATATACATATATATATATATATATATATATATACATATATATATATATATATATATATATATATATATATACATATATATATATATATATATATACATATATATATATATATATATATATATATATATATATATATATATATATATATATATATATATATATTTATATATATATATATATATATATATATATATATATATATATATATATATATATATATATATATATATATATATATATATATATATATATATATAATTTATTTGAAACTGTGAATAAAATATTTTTTAATGATGTGTATGTAGCTGTTATAAAACAGGTTCTAACTGCAAAAGATGTTGTGTAGTGAGAGTTGGGTGTTAAAAATAAAATTTATAAATCTAATTTTTGTAAATCTGAATTTTCAATTAAATTATAAATTTTATAATAGACTGTTTTTTTTATTATTTATTTTTTACTAACAATCTATAGAATCAGTTTATTCTTTTAATAAAAATATGTTTTGTAACTTACTTATAATATATTTTGTACATGATGTCTAATGACATCTTTTTGTTTTTATTTAATTACACAAATTGTATGGTAGTTAATGATTTGAGTTTAGGATCACACATTCAAATCACTAATTATCATAAGTAATTTGAGTTGATTAGAAAATAAAAAAAAATTTTAAAAAAAAGTTCTTTTTTAAATTAAGGTTTATTAATGCCAAAAAAGGTTTTCAAAATTACTTTTAAAATACTTGTTTATTTTTTATGAGCATAAGAAGGAGAATTTATGAAAGTGGTGCACAATAACATCAGGAGCATGAGTAGGAGAATTTATGAAAGTGGTGCACAATAACATCAGGAGCATGAGGAGGAGAATTTATGAAAGTGGTGCACAATAATATAAGGAGCATGAGTAATAGAATTTATGAAAGTGATGCACAATAATATTAAAAAAAAAGCAGAGAAAGATGAAAAAATCTAAAAATATTTAGACTTTTTCATCTTTCTCTGGCTTATTTGGTTTATAAAAATTTTCTTATAACTCCCAACTTAATAGCCTTGACAGCCTTGTTGGGAGTGAATTAGTTTTTTTTTAAAAAGTGACAATAAATTAAATAATTATTTGCAAGAATAAGGCAAGAATAAAATAGAAATGGCAGACCCTTAACAGGTAGTAGTAACACATTAAATGGAAATAGTTCTAGATTAATTGAAATATGCATTTAGGGGATTTTTTTTTCGGCATATAGAATAATAAAATTTTTATTGGTCGTTTAGAATTAATTGTCCAATTTAACTTATTTTAAAATAAACATACAAAAAAGATGTCAGTTCAGACAAAACCTCATACATCTCCGAAACAGTTTGTGAGGAACTTACTTCATTGATGACCAAAAAAGTTCTAGAAGTCATCATGGCAGATGTGAAAAAAAGCTTTAAGTTCTATTTATTCAAATAAAAACAAGAAGCTATGGTGTTTGACAAACCTCACATAACTTTTGGATTTTTTACTTAAATTAATATTTGCAATGAGAATTTGAAGAAAAATGCTGAAGAAATTATTAAGCAATACCATGGAGATATTGATGATTCAATAAGTGATAAAATTATCCAAATCTGATATCTAAAAAATAATTATCAAGAAACCACTTTGACACATTTTTATAGATTACTAATTGTTTGGGTGAAATAAGCTTTTCCTAATTAAAATTAATTATAAGTTATTTAAGCTCAACAATGACACGAGATACTTTAAATAATTTCACTATAATATCCAGTAATGTTGATATATTGAAAATTCTTTGATTCTTTGTTTAACACGTTCACGCCGGCGTGTACCACCGGTGGTACACAATAGACTGTCTCATTGGGCGGCATGTACCACTGGTGGTACACGCCGCCCAATGAGACAGTCTATTGTGTACCACCAGTGGTACACGCCGCCCAATGAGACAATCTAGTGTGTACCACCAGTAGTACACGCCATCGTGAACATGTTAATGAGTTTTAAAAATGAAAGTTAAGTTAGAAATTCGTATAATAAATTTTTAAAACATTGTATTAGTGGTAAGTTTTTATTAATTTAAATATTTTTGTTATCAGTGAAATTATTTAGTAGTATTTATGTTAAAAATTTAAAATAAAATTGTGTACTAAAAAAAGTTTTTCACCATAAATGATCAAATGTATACATAAAATAAATGATCAATTTTATACATAAAATAAATGATCAATTGTATACATAAAATAAATGGTCAATTGTATACATAAAACAAATGGTCAATTGTATACATAACACTTACAAAGTATATCAAATTGTATACAAAACACTAACTTAGATTTTTTATACTTTTTGTAATATTAATGTTAATTATAATGTTAAGAACTCTCTAATGTAAAAAGTTACATGAGTTTATAAGAATTTATATACTTTTGATATTTGACAACTAGGTTTTTTTTTAAACTTGTTAGGTCATCTAAGAATAACATCAAAAATTTATGAACAGCTTCATGTTATGAAACTTCTTAAATATATGAAAAAATTTTCTGTAATCATTCTCACTGAAGAATAAAAAAAAATCCTAAAACAATTCGATTAATCATTGTGACTCTAGAAACCATAAACCATGATGGCTTTAAAAACATAGACTATGATGATATATAAAAAAAATCATCCTTTTATTTTATCAAAAAATGTATACCACTTTCAATAGTCACATCCAAAAGTTACGCTAAATTATATAATTATGTAATTTTGCAAACTTTTTTTTTTAGGGTTCAAACTTTAAGTATTCAATTGTAATAAGAGCAGCAGTTGATTCTGAAATTTTAATGTAAGTTTTGTTGTTTTAACATAAAATAAATGTGTTATGATATTGAATTTGATAAATAAATCTTTTATAATATTTCCTTCTCACTTTTTAACAATTTTGTTTTATATATAAAAGTTTTTAATGTGTTGTCAGAATTAAGTATTTTCAAAATTTATAAAATGTTATTTGGTGAAGAATTTTGTTTAACTTATTTTTAAGTTGGTCTTTAAATTGGTCAATGCTTCCAAACAAATTTTACAATAATTTTTTAAAATAATATGTCATTGGAATATATAGGAAAGAGAATGCATTAGCCATTTTTGTATAGGAGTCGCCCACAAATTGTCACACAATAGAGGGGAGGGGAAAGGGTTGGCGATTTTATGAGGATTTGTTAAAGGAGGGGGGGGGAATTCAGTTTTGTGTTGCAATATTTTTTTTCTAAGTTTCAAATCTAGAAAATCTTTTATATTAATTAAAAGAGTCTCCAGGCCTAGCTAAAATTACTCGGCTGCAGCTATTCCAATTTAACAAAATTGACTTTTTAAATTGACTATGAATACGTCTATGGCTTTAAGAGACAATAATATAGCTGATATATCATTGATAAAAAAATAATTAATAACAATATAATTATTAATTAAAAAGCATTTAATAATTATTAAACAACAATAATGGTTAAAGTGCATTAGCACAAAGTATTATAATATTAATATAACCTGTACCATGACACTAACTTATTGCCAAAGAAGTTCTTAATAAATTATCAAAAATTTAATGTATCTTCAGAGGTTATTTGTCTGTTTAGTTACTGTTAATTTATACAACTATATCAAATTACAGGAGTACAAAAAAGAGTATATATACACTCTACTTCCCCCATACCTATTTAAGTCATTCGATGTATGTAACTACACTGTGAGGGGGTACAGATTTGTTGCATTATTAAAGGGAGAACGGTTAGTAAAATGTTACAATTTGTTACCAGGAGAATGGGAAGGTTTGGAAATTGTCTAAAATTGTGTGACAATTTATGAATGACCCCATATTTGTTATATATTTATTTTATGTTATATACTTTTTTTGACAAAAGATATTTTATTTTTTATGTAACACTTGCTACAATATTTTTTATATATTTGTTTTATTTGTAAGGTTCCCATCTCGAGCTTTTAAAGAAGTATTTGAAGACCATCCTGAATCTCTTGTGAGGGTTGTACAGGTAATATTGTATCTACTTTTGTATCACAAACATGAAAAAACGGTTTAAGAGTTTTTTATTTAATCTTTCTACATGAATTCTTTTTAACATGAGCTCTTGCATTTATTTAATTTTGTGTGCATTTTTTTTGTTCTTTTAATTTAGATGATTATGCTTCGTCTACAACAAATGATTTTTCAAGCATTTCATAAGTTTTTGGGGTTGCCTGCAGAAATCGTCAGCAGCCATTCTGTATGTTCTTTATTTTATTAATTTGTTTATTTTACATTGTTACAAAATATTTTAATCACAACAGTTTTCAAGGCGTTGTTTGGTTGGTTTTTAACTTTGTATTAAAACCTTAAAAGAAAAACTTTATAAATGAAAATTCACTAAGCAAACTAGAATTTAAAAAGTATATGTCTTTTTATTATTTTTTTCTAATTTACAGCGTGTTAATGAAAGTTTAAAGTCTCTATCAGTCTATTCACTTGAAAAAGATGAAAAAAAGCTTGCCAGTTGTTTCCCTCAAAAGTCTGTTGCATCATCCATGGGTCATTCAAGCAATCTTATTTCATCTATACAAGAGCATGAAAGTGAAAGTCTGTTTACAGATAATAGCTCTGTTGGATTATTGGGTCAGCATAAAAACTCTATTAAAGAAAAAGCTATTTATCGGAGAACAAATTCAGTTGAGTTATATGGAAAAAGTAAATACTTTTTATTTAAGATGTTACATTTGATAATTTTTTAAATATTTTAACTAAAATTTATTTCATTTTATACATTTTCAATATGATATTTTTAATTTTATATTCAATATCCTTTTTTGAAATTCTTTCAACCTTAAATATTATTTTATTGCTGTTTTTATATATATATATATATATATATATATATATATATATATATATATATATTTATGTAAATATATATATATATATATATTTATGTAAATATATATATATATATTTTCTTTAATATATAATTATTTAGATATTTCGCTGATCTATCGTGATCACGATAGATCTGCTGGGTATTATGGGTTAATATAACAGAAGATATTTCAGTAATGTATTACTTAAAGTTATATTGCTGAAGTGCGAAGCTAGTAAATTTTTGATCACCACTTCATAATACTCTTAATAAAATAAATCTCTATTATTTTTTTCTAAAGTTGTTTAACACCATTTATTGATAAATTAAGTTTCTAGCACATAATTTTTTTAAGGAATGCTTTCTTATATCAAATAGCAGAAACATGTCTTTTTTAACAAATTTGTAATATCTTTATTTATTCTGTACATATATATATATATATATATATATATATATATATATATATATATATATATATATATATATATATATATATATATATATATATATATATGTACAGTACCTACTCAAATTATTAGACTCAAACTCAATTTTTAACTTTTTGTCTTTTTTGTGTGTTTAAAACTCACTAAAAGCAATCTTATTTTTTTATGTATAATCTATATATTGATATATAAAAAGCATATTATGAAACTTAATACTTGGTGATGATTCCTTTCGACTCCTTTTGAAAGAGCTTTGATGCGCCTTGGCATACTACTTACTCACTTTGAGTTCAATGCTTTAACATCTGGATTTCGATGCCATACTTTGATTAGTCATTTTGTGAGTTTCTGTTTACTTGTTAAATGCAAAGTCAGCACTTTACATGTTACAAGTACCCACATATTTACAATAGGGTTCATATCTGGAGAATTGCTAGACCAATCAAGTAGCTCAATAATCTCATTAGCAAGAAAGGTCTTTATGGATTTTGCAGTACAGTAAAGAGCACTATTTTGCATGAAAACTACTTTTTTTACCATTAGGAAACCACTCTTGTATCTTGTAATTAGTGCAAATAATTGTATTATATATAAACTATTAATGTGTTGCTTCAGAAGGAATGTTGTGGGTGCATCATATATATTATATTGTACATAATGTTTATACTGTTTTTTATACCCTCGGGGGTATTTGCAAATGTATATATATTGAGTAAAGATATTCAGAAAGACAGTAAGAAAAACCAAATATATATTTTATTATTACATATCTGTTGAATCAAACTAGTCTGTCAGACAGTCTTGTACTATCTTGTTTCATTATCCCATGTACAATGTAAAGAATTTGACTGATACCCCTGCTTGATATGCATGACTAAACCATTATAAACCCTGGGTGCGTTACAGTGTTTACAGTGCATTTTGGCTTTGTTTTTCTTTTGGTCTGCAACAGACGAATGTGGCTTTTTCTTTCAAAGTCTCAAAGGTAGATTCATTGCTGTATACAACCTGACTAAAGCAATAAATATTGATGTTTTAAATATTTCAAATATTAATAATATGAACTGGGATAAGATATTAATGCAAAAACATCTAAAAATTTGTAATATTAAAATATTAATTGTAATATTAAAAAAATTTCAGGAGAAAACTAATGGAAAATTTACCTTATTCTAGTCATCTTGAGAAAAAGAGGAGTGCTTTTTAGCCCATGCAAGATGTTTTTTAATCATTGCAGGCGTAAGTTACAGCTTTTTCAGTGGCTTTCTAAATTTATATCCAAATTCATAACTTCTCCTTCTTAAAGATTCAAGTGAATTTTTTTATTCCTTGGTCTTTTAAAACAATTTTCAGTTTTATTGGTGGTATCTTACGATTTTGTTCAATAACTTTTTTTATTTTTCTGTGATCTCTAGCACTTTTTCTGCCACAGGACTCTGTTTTCTGCGCTTCTAATTTTACCCCCATTTTAAGTTTAGAATTTGTTGCTATGACTGTAGCCATGATAATTTTGACAACTTTGGCAATATTTCTTTAGATGTAACTTGTTTCTTGCAGAAAGACAGTTTTGCATATTTACTAGAGGAAACATCACTAGATTTACCCAATATTAATCCTAAAATAACTCCAACAATAATTAAGTTATTATATGACTGCACAATTAAAAAAAACAACTTAAAAACAACTGAAATTTTATTATTTAAATTGTAAAGACAGTCTAAAATAATGTAGCTTCCTAAAGAAGACATATAAATTAAGTTATGACAGACTAAATTAACTGAAAGTTTTTAATTATACATAATTTAAACTTACCATAACTTTTATAAAGTTGAAAATATTTTTTAAAATTAAATATATTTTATAAATTTTGCTAATTAAAAACAAAAAAAGAATGACAGGAAGTTAAATTGCACATAAACAACAAAAATTTAACATCATTAATCCCTACCTATCAAAGAAAATCCAAAAAACTAACCCAATCTGTGCATTTCTCTTTTGAGTCTAATAATTTGAGTAGGTACTGTATATATATATATATATATATATATATATATATATATATATATATATATATATATATATATATATCAGGCTTTTCCAGGAAAGGCGTGCGGTCGCACGCCTTGTTTGTCCACGCATAGAATAAATTTTTCTGACTAACTGACCACGTTTTATTATTATGCGTTTTAAGAATTTGCGCCAAAACAAAATACCGCAAAAATGCAAGCAATCTTAAAGTAAATAACAGAAATCTGTTTGTGCTTTAAAATTAAAAAATTAATGTATATTATTAAAAAAAAATTTACCTTTATTTTATTTATTTATTTTTTTCGGGTGGTAGTTATTTAAGCTATGAAAAATCAAATCAATAAGAAAAATCAAATCAAAAAGAAAAAGAATAATGTTTAAAGAAAATAAAAAGGACCTTTTAATGTAAAATTTGTTTATGACTTTCATCAGTCAGTAATACTTTAATATTCACGATAGAACTATAAACAATTTTTAAATGTTTCGTAAATATTTTTAAATGCTTAAATGTATTGATTTTAATGTTTGAATGTATTGATACGCAAGAAAACACAAAAACAATTGCTATTTATTAGTAAAATATGTTGTTTTTTTTTTTTAATGAAAGAAAATTTTATTGTCAAACGATTGAGTTGCTTATTTTGCAATCATTAATTGACATTGTGAACGAGTGTTAATATTTAATAATGTCCCGAAGGAATTGTTTTCGTAACAATGACAACAGAAGCAATGCAACTATTTTTTTAACTTCTTTCGTAATTACAAAATTATGCAATTGAATAACTTCAACGTAATAAAAGGCGAGCATTGACTCAGTATAATCAGTTTAGAATAAGTTGAGAAAGAACTTTTTTCACATTAAAATTTTGTTATCTTTAAAATCTTAAATAATATATTTAATAATTAAAACAGCAATTTATTTTCTTGTCTATGTATTGGGGAATAAAGTCATTGCCTTTGCATAAACCTTCGTAAAAACTAAATTAAATGAAAAAGTTTCACCAAATTTGTCTAGCGTAAATAATGAATAAGTTTTTTAATACATTGTCTGATAAAGTTTGTGAATAAATTACGTATCAAGTCTTTTTATTTTCGTGAAAACTTTATGACTTATTGTCGTCTTTTCCTTGACTTGTATCAAATTTCGTAGCTGAAAATAGCAACCCTAATAAAAAAAAACAACAGTATAAAAATTTTGAAAAAAGTGTTCAAGACTTTTTTTTTTTTGTTACAAGAATTTTTTTTTTTTTAATTTTTTTTTATTATCAAAATAATTTTCTTACATCCAATTTCAATTTTATACTTTGTTTAGACTTCGTTTCATTTTTTAATATTATTTTTTATTCTCTGTGGATAATTTCCGCTTTCTTACGAAATATTGCCGCGGTCACATTTTCTGAAAAATTTATTCTATGCGACCGCACGCCTTTCCTGGGAAAGCCTGATATATATATATATATATATATATATATATATATATATATATATATATATATATATATATATATATATATATATATTATATATATATATATATATATATATATATATATATGTATGTATGTATGTATATATGTATATATATATGTATATATATTAGGGTGGGTCATAAAATTTTTTTTTAGAGTTGCTAACCTGGCCTAGAAAGTTGTTTTTTTATGTACAAATTTAGGAAAGTATTTACTTTTATGGATTGAACAATGTCTTCTACCCACAACTTTATTTACAAAAATTAACAGGCCAATTAAAAAAACAATTAAAAAAACATTTTTCAAAATTATGTGATGTTGGTACTCAAATAAAGAGAAATTTTATAAGAATTTAAAAAATTATAATTTTCTTATATTAAAATCATTAATTTAGATTTTATTGCATAATAACTATAGTTTTTTAAATAAAAATAAAAAAACAAGTTTTTTTAATGTTTTTTTAACAAAATAATTTTTATAAAACAATTATTATTTTCAAATTTTTTTAAAATTTCGCTTCTTTTGAGTACCAGGTTAACCTACTTTTGAAAAACCTTTTTCTCCATAATTAATTAGTTAAAAACATTGTGTATATTTATTAATAGTATCACTATTAATAAATATACACAATGTTTAGAGCCTGTAACAAGAAAAAAAAAGTTTTATGACCCACCCTAATATACACATATATATATATATATATATATATATATATATATATATATATATATAATACAGTACCTACTCAAATTTTTAGACTCAAAAGAGAAATGTCTAGATTTGAGAGACAGTTAAAAAAAGACACAAAAAAACCTTAAGCAAAATAAATACGATTAGAGCAAATATTTTTGAAACTTAAATTATAATTATGAGGATTATCTAACTTTAAACATTGCGATTTTGTAGCAATGTGTCGCTAGCTACATATCGTAGCTTTTTAGCTAGCTACAAAATATCTACAAATCTGATAGCTACAAATCAAATTTTTTTAGACAACGACTTTATTACAATATGACGCTAGCTACAATAGCCAATGGGTCTTTAGCTTATTAAGCTGGCTGTCCTCTTAACCAAATGTCTGTCTTTATCTTTACAAATATCGATAGCTTTTCGCTAACTTAAAAAAGCTAGCAAAAAGTATCGTTACGATTATAGCTAGCTATTCGCTAGCCGATTTCCCACCGGGTTATTAATAAATAAAAAAGTTTTTTCAATAACTGTTTTATGCTTCACATAGTTTGAAAAGTTGAACACATTTAAAACAATTTTTCTTAGTAAGATGAACAAATGAAATAATTAAATCATTGAGTTACTGTAAAAATTCAATAAGCTAAATAGAAATTAACTAAAAACGTTAAACTACTATGTGAGGAGGAAACGGAACTGCTTCACAATAACGCTGAAAATGTTTAATGTGTGGGTTTTATAATTTTAATTAGTATTTAAAACAGAAAAAAGTAATTTTAAGTTTAAGTATAACGAGTTTGTAAGAATGGCTGAAGCAAAAATAATTGAAGTTAGTTAATTAGTTTCTAAGAACTTAAAAACTTTTCTTTCTTGGAGGAAAGAATCAGTTATTGGGTACACTGAGGAAAATTGATTAATGGTTAAAATTATTTGTATTGCCTTTGATGATTAATAATAATTTCATTAAAAACGCAGTTATTATTGAAAGTATTTTTGTTTACGATATCGATCGCCCAAATTGCTTTGAAAGATTACATATTTTTATTCAAATGTAATTATTTTGTTTAAATCACATTTGAATAAAATACACATACATAAAATTAAATGCACAAAAACTATATTCATAAAAATACATTACATAAAAAAAACATCACATCTATAAAAAATACATCCCTTATATAAAAATTAAGAATATACTAATAAAATCTATAATATATTTACAAAACGTTGACAAGATAAAAAAGATAAATTTAAAACATTTATTTTTGTAAACAAATAGTGTTAGTTTAAAACATTTATAGCTTTGTAGATGTGGCTCCAAGAATTAAAATAATAGTTTGTTTGATAGTATATTCTTAAAACAATTAATGCTAGAAATCTCAACAAAAACATAACAAAACTTAAATAATACAATTTTTAAAAAAATTTCAACAGAATACTTTAGAAATTTCGGTTAGTATTTTTTGAATCAATAAAATTAATTTTTTATAGATTTGGCGGGTTTTTTGTGTTCGCAAATATTCTTTTTTTATTTTCCGCACAAAGATGTTTGAGAACATTCAATTTTATGTATGTTTTCATGTATGTCCGTAAAACAAAATATTTCAAAATTTACGATAAAATAATGAACTAAATTAAGGAAACATACATTAATTTAAATGTTCTCAAAACGACTAAAAAATCTGGCCAGTTTTATGTATATATATATATATATATATATATATATATATATATATGTATATGTATATATATGTATATACACAACTGCAATATATATATATCGACTAATGCCCGTTTCAAAAAATTTTTTCAATTAAATTTCAAATTTTAAAAAATCTTATATTAATCTTAAATACGTGGTACACAACTCAATAAAAATTTAATAATTTTTCTCTCTCTATGCAAAAATTAATTCTAAATTAACTCTTCTTACATTAAATCTAACTAAAGAGTCACTGTCATTCTATGCAGGTTTAAATTCAGAATGAAGTCTCTACACTGTTAAGTCAACAGTGTGGAGACTTTATTTTTTCAATTTTTAATAATTTTATATTTAACAATAATAATCATTTTGAAGATATTTGTTTTACTTATTACTAATAATAAGTAATAAGTAATGAAATAAGTTATGGACCATAATTCTGTATAAAGTTTGCATAATATCTTTTCTAAAGTTTTTACTCTTTTTTTACATCAAATAACTTTCAAGGACAATTACTTAGTTTTTAAGTTTAAAATTGAACGAAAAAATCATAAAGAGTTTTTAGTTCTTTATTTATTTCAATTTTTTAGTCATGAGAGTCATTATTACACCAGAGGATTTATTTACAGTCTTGTTAACTTATAAGCCAATTCAGTTCTTTATTTGTTTCAAAAATTTGTCTTTAACCAGTCTGTTCCTTTAAATTTGGCAAAAAATTGTAAATTGTTAGTTGTGAGACAAGATGATTTGACCCAAAAAGATGAGATGTTTCAAAAAAATAAAAATACACGATAAAAGATAGATTTTCTATCTATCTGTCTTTGACCTTCTAAGGATAGAAGGTCAAAGACAAAACTTCAAAAGTTCTGGTTTGTAGTTGCTTTATGTAGTTGCAATAAAGATAATCAATGCTAGTCTTGATTTGTTATTTCTGCTACTCTTGTTGATCAGCCATGTTTGATACAAGTTTTAATGTCAGTGTACTTTGCAAGAGTTTTGATGATATGTGGATAAGTGCGTTTTTAAATTAGTTTGCCTCATCTAAACCACTATGACTATGGTCAAACATAGATTTCAGGCACTTGATGACTTCGGTATTCATGATTTTGGCCACACAACTACTTTCTTGCACTATTTTGTGTTCAGAATCATTTGATTAAACCATATTCATGGACTTAATACAGCATTGAAGTGAACTTTTCACTTTGCAATTTGTTATTTATATAGAACTCTTAAATTTGTTTTCTTATCTTTTCATGCTTTGACATCATTTTTTTCTAAATTTTTGATAATTATCTATCAACAGAAAAGTATGAAAAAAAAAAGTTTAGCTTGTGACGTTTAAAAGGTAAAGTCAATCTGGATTTTTAGTTACCACTTATTATATGTTTTGAGATTATGTGGATATGTGTAATTATTTGTCTAAATAATATCACAATTTGACTTATTTAATTTGATTGACTGGTCATTGGAATTGATTGGTCATTAGAAAATATTTATGATTTCTAATCTCTTTAAATTTAAAACCTTTTTTTAGCAAATGAAATTCATAATGGTTTGTTATCAACAACTTCTGATTTTGATGCTGTTCTTGATCGTGTTGGACTTGAGGGAAGTTCAGAGGAAGCTTTTCAAAATCAGGTAACAGATGATTTTGTTTCAAGCTCTAGCATTATGGCAGAACTCGAAGTTGATGAAAGCTATGGTATACCAACTGAAAAAGAGGAAAAAATGATGACAGCTGCTCGAGCAGATCTTGTAAAATTGCTACAATTGCCGGTAATTTTATCATTACAAAAACTCACTATAAATATTATTATACATTATTCTAATTTTTTAAACTGCATCCAGTTCATGATCATAACATTTAATGTTATTCAGTTCATGATCATAACATTTAATGTTATTCAGAAATGTTAAAAAGTTTAGCTCATGAATTTAAATAATATTCATGTAACTTCTATAATACTAACCACGATACCATGGTTACTTGATGATTTAACAAACACTAAAAAACCCAGGGGTGTGGAGTCGTAAAAAAAAAGTAACGACTCCGACTCCAGTTGTTGAAATTTTTTAAGTACAACTCCAACTCCAACTCCAAAGCAAAATTTTTGAAAAATTCTTTCAAAAATATTACGCGATAATAATTTCTTAAAGTTAATAATTTCTTTTTTGAAAAATTTATGAAACGTTCTTTGAGGTTTATTATGAACATAAAGTTAATTGAATGTTTTGTACACGCACGTCCAATACCTAGAAGTTTTACTATTGGAGTCGGAGTTACGATTTTGTTAAGCGACTTCGACTCTGCTAAAAATGTTGCGACTCCGCATATCTGACTCCGACTCCACAGCCCTGAAAAAACCAAGTGTTCTATCTTAAATAAAGAGTTAACAGAGGTTACAACTACTAATACAATAAACCAAAATTTTATAATATTAGTTTTAAATAAAAACTATGAGACTTCAAGTTACATCTATATGATTTAATAAACATATTTATTGAAGTTTATAATTTAGTTAGGTTTAATCTACTTAAAACAACATCAAACAACTTCAAAAAGCATCAATAGTTTTTATAATTTATTTTAGACACCAAAATTGCTGGATGGCCTATTGACTATTGATGTTGTCCCATGTGGTACTTATTTGGTAAAAGAAGGTGAAAAGGTTAGAATTTTTTAGAATGAAAAAGGCTTTGGAATAAAAATCAAAAATGTCAAATAAATGTTTTGTTCAACTACATCATACTTTTTTGATAACATCAAATGTTTTTTTTCTGATAGTAAACCTATTTTTTTAGGACTCTGGTCTATTTTTTTTAGTACAAGGATTATTAGAAGTTTCACAGACTCTATTGAATCAAAAGGTTAGTCTTATGTTTTCTTGAATTTATTATTCTTTTTTTTTTTAATGTTTAAATTTTTTATTACAATATTAACTCAACTTTTAATATTAACATAATTAGTTTTCATAACTTCCAATATTAACCGAATTTACAATATTAATATAAATTGTTTTCATTTATTTTGTTTTAAGAATTTTTTAAATTACTGTTAATTTATGAGTTAAATGTATTTAATATAATCTATGAATTTAATATAGTAAATACAATGATATTAAAAGATTGTTAAGCAAATTTTGTTTTAAACTAGGAAGTTTTATTTACGTGTGTCCCTGGCGAATTTATGGGTTCTCTATCGCTGTTGACTGGAGACCCGTCATTTTTTACAATTTACACAAAAGAAGTATCTTATGTTGTTGTCATAAGTAAAGTTAACTTTTACAAGTAATTTACAGAAATAAAATTTATTGTCAGTTTATTAAGTATATCAAATTTACAGACCAATTTTTTAGTAAAATATATGCAAAATTTTCAGCTTTTCTTTTTTTTTCTTAGACTGATAAAGCAGCATCCAAAAGTAGTTCTTCCTGTTGCAAACAGCGTTATTCAAAAAATGTCATCTTTTATTCGAAATATAGATTTTGCTTTAGATTGGATTTTACAAGAATCAGGGAAACCACTTTTTAGGTAATTTATACAAAACATTTCATTAGATTTGAAAAAAAAAATTTGTTAGGTTTGATAAAACATTTTATTTTGAGGTTATAAAGTTGTTAATGTTGTTATTTACTAGTTATTCAAAATTTTAGGTCTGCAAACTTCAATTTTTAGATTACAGAATTGTAAATATCTAATTTTTAGGTAACATCCTATTTAGCGCACCCTCTGTTACTTTCGTTTTTTTTTTTTAATTCGACAACTGGATTCCGATCAGAATTTGTTTATACTTGATTGGACCTATTTCCAGGTCTAGGATTACAAATATTCAAACAAAATTTCAAACAAAAAAATCGAAGTATTAGTTATGGCTACAGATTTCAGTTTTAATTCTGAATAAATTATTTAAATTATAACTCCCAGACATAGAAATTTAGAACATGGCTAAAATTATAAAAATAAAGTAATAAATTTAAAATCCAAAGAATTTTAATTCTTACTCTATCTTATTCATATTAATTTAGTTTAATATCAATAAATTTTAATACTGATTAATACTGTATTAGTTATATTATTTAAGTTATATTATTATTTAAATTTAGGTTATATTGATTTTCATATTACTTATAATTATTATTAGAGATACCATATCTACTGAAGTTACTAAAAAGTATATCTACTGAAGTTACTAAAAATTTCAATTCTATTACTGTTTCTTTTTGATTAGCTCTTTTCGTAAAGATTCATGCTGTGTTTTCCATTAGTTCTTTTCACAAAGTTCCATGCTGTGTTTTCCATTAGCTCTTTTCACAAAGTTCCATTCCGTGTTTTTAATTACACTTAGGTACATCATATTTAGCATCTAAAAATAAATTAAATTTTTAGGTACATTTTATTACCTTGTTGATGTTTAGAATTAAAGTTGAAATAAACAATTGTTTAAAAAATGGATTGAAATAAAATAAATCGGTTTGGATTTAGATTGGTTAAAAAAACATTAGGATTGAAGTAATGGATCCAGTACATTGAAAATTCAGATCTGAATTTAAAATGAAAATATCCGCCCTTTTTTTAAAATTGTTTATAAATGTAAATATATAAACAAAAACATTAAATAAACCACTTATAAACCACTTATAAACCAGTTTTTTTCAGTTAGATAGAATAGTGTAAATAGATATAGTTAATAAAGAAATATAGATAATAAATAGAATAGATAGATAGAAAACTAGAAAGTATTAATAGTTAAAAATTTTATAGTATAAATTAAGTCTAATAAAAAAAATAATTGTTTAGACAAAATGATGAGCCTGATTCTCTCTATATTGTTCTTAATGGTCGTCTTCGTGCTGTTCGTGCTCACAGAAATGGACAGAAGGAAATTGTGCATGAGTATGGTCGTGGTGAATTTGTTGGATTGGTAAATTTTATATTTTTTAAACAATCTCCTAACTGATAGAATCAGTCAATTTTTTCTTTACATGCGTATCACCTTTTTACATTGTACATGTTTGAAATAACAAATTATGTAGCGCATATTCATTCAAGTGCAATATTTTTCAAAATACTTTTATTGCAATTTACCTATACCTTTTGACTCTGTGTGAAATGCTTGCAGCGGCTTTGCAATAAATGTTTCACATTCAACACATTGACACACACACACAAAAAGTTTAGATAGGTCAATATTTGAAGGAGTGTCTCAATAAACTTGAAATACTTGAGAGATTGAAAAATATTAACAGCACAAAAGCTATGAAGGTAAAAAACGACTTAAGTTGATGATGAGTAGCAAATAAATCAAACAACTTGAATAACAACAACAGTAGCAAAGTTAATAGTAAAAGATGCAATAAAGTTTTAAACATTACTTCAGTAAGTCAAAATAGTGAATGGTACAAGTTCGGAAATTCAAAATGCAAGGTTAGGTCATACATGCATACCAAAGCAATATGTAATTAAATGCATACCATACTAGCTCAAAAACTGAACTCACCCCATAACTATGCTGAACGAATCTCACCCCATAACAATGCTGCTACATGTATATATATATATATATATATATATATATATATATATATATATATATATATATATATATATATATATATATATATATATATATATATATATATATATATGTATATATATAAATATATATATATATACACACATGCATATATATTGATGTGTATATAGATATGCAGTTGTCAATCTTTATTGGTTACTTTATTCCATACAGTTTTTTTAAAAATAATAATGAAAAAAAAGATTGCTACCCTATCTCGAACCCTCAGTTGATGTAGAGACTATCTTTTGTGGCAGCATTCTATAAGATAGTCAATGTATGTACTGAAGCCACCAGCAGCAGGCTATTTCATATATACATATATATATATATATATATATATATATATATATATATATATATATATATATATATATATATATATATATATATATATATATATATATATATATATGAAATAGCCTGCTGCTGGGGGCTTCAGTACATACATTGACTATCTTATAGAATGCTGCCACAAAAGATAGTCTCTACATCAACTGAGGGTTTGAGATAGGGTAGCAATCTTTTTTTTCATTGTTATTTTTAAAAAAACTGTACGGAATAAAGTAACCAATAAAGATTGACAACTGCATATCTATATACACATCAATATATATGCATGTGTATATATATATATATATATATATATATATATATATATATATTTATATTTATATATATATATATATATATATATATATATATATATATATATATTATATATATACATATATATATATATATATATATATATATATATATATATATATATATATATATATATATATATATATATATGTATATATATTCATATATACATACATGTATATATGTGGATTTTTATATTGTAACATATATTGTATTAATTTTGTCATAAAATTATTTTGATATAGGTTGAGGCACTTACACATACAGAGAGAACAGAGTCCGTGCATGCTATACGGTATTTCCTTTTTTCTATTTGAGGCTTTGTATTTAAATTCATATTTAAAAAAAAAAACATAAATTTATGTTTGTAAATTTTTGTTTATTTTATAGAGACACTGAGTTGGCTCAAATTCCAGAAGGGTTATTGAGCACTATAAAAATATGTTATCCACAAGTAACTGAAGTTTTCTCATTTTTTGAATTTATTTATAATTGCCTACTGAATCATGCAAATTAGGTTTTGTCATGTTTTGGTCAATGTTTTTACTGTTTCTTACTTCCTGCCAAGTTAAAGTTTTTGTTATTATGCCTCCACCTTTACCTTTTATTTGATAAGTGTAAGAAATTTTTTTTAATAAATGGTTCATTTTTGAACAATTTATTAAAAATGATTGAAATCACAGTTTTTTGATAAAGGATTATTATGCAATTATTGTGCAATTGTCTATTATTATGCAATGTTAAATTTAATTTCTTTACAAACAAAAAAAAAGATCTTTTAATTAGTTAAACAAAAATTAAAGTAACTTAAAAGTAGGTTATCACCTAATGTTTTAAAATATTACAACATTAAGTGATAACCTACTTCTATTTTTATGTAAGTGATTACCGACTTCTATTTTTAAAATAACATAATATTGTATATGGACAATTTCTAATCAGGTTTTATTAAATACTATTTTTTACTTTCATCAAATTTAGTTTAAATTTTCCAAAGCTAATTTTTTATTATGAAGTTTTTTTTTACCATTAAATAATTAAATTGAGAAAATTGAAATAAGTAAATCTTATACAACTTATTGTAAATTTCACTGTTCAGATTGTTTACATTACAGTGTGAATTTTACTGTTTAGGTTGTTTCTCGTCTAATACAACTATTAGGTGAACGATTGATTACAAAAATGAAGAGGGGTTCACGATTAAATGTAGCAGACTCAAAATTAGGTTAGATATTTTTTCAAAGGTAGTTTGTCATTTAAAAAAAATATATAAAGTTAAGTTTATTGAGTCTAAATTTTTAATACATATATAAGCGCCGGACATCAGAAGTTGTCTGACACTTGTGGGGTAAAAATTGACATCTATCGGTCATTTTGTCCAACCCATACTTTATGTACATTTATTTTCTAATAATTTTAGTTGTTCCAAAATAATTAATAAGTTCAGTATTGTATATAAGCTTTATTTTATATATTTAATATATTTACATAGTAATTTATTAAACTTAATTTAATGTATTATAAGTTATTAAACTTAATTTATGTATTTAATATATTTACATAGTAATTTATGTATTTTATAGTTTTACAATTTTGTTATACATTTTTGTTATATATTTAATTATGTATTTAATAATTAAATATATATATAGTGTATATATATATATATATATATATATATATATATATATATATATATATATATATATATATATATATATATATATATATATATATATATATATATATACATATACATATATATATATAAATATAAATATATGTATATATACTTTTCTCAACAACTTTTGCATGAACTTTGCATAAATAAGATCCTTTCTTGTCAGTTATCATGCTTTGCACAAAAGAAAAAAATATACACCACTATATAAATATATAATATATAACATGTATAACACCGATATATATTTTAATTTAATTCAATTAAAATAAAATTCAAACAAAAAGTTTATAAAGCTGTTCAAAACTTATTCTTATATTAAAGAAGTGACATCATGTTAATGAATGTAAAAATGATTGTAATAATAAAAACGACTACAACAACTTCAATGCTAAGCAATTATTAGGCAATTAATTTTTCTATCATTCCTATAAATATTCTTTTAGATTTTAATTATAAGTTTTTAAATATTTTTTCTACAATAGAAATATTCTACAATAGTAATATAAAGTTAAAGACAATGATAGTTTCTTTACTCCTAAAAGTAACATGTCACTAACAAGTTCAATTTATGTTACTTTATTTTATTTATGTTAATTTATGTTACTTTATGTTTGAAATTTAGTTTTATTAAAGAAATACAAAAAACATACTGAAAAAAAAAAAGTTTAAAAAAAACATAGTAAGCAAAGGGACAAAGTGGCAAATAATAGGTATGAAAGGTGGTTCTTTTATCAGTAACAGAAAAATAACAAGGTTTAAAGTTTTATAGAATTTTGTCATAATTATTCTAAAACATTTTAAATGACTGAGGATATCCAATGTCATACAAGATTCAGAAGCTTAAACTACCGAGTACAAAAAAAGTCCTATATTTTATTAAGTAAGAACCAATATAAGTTGAAGTTATGGTGAACTTACCATTCAACAATAACACATTCAATAAAAACTGTGAAAAGTTTCTTTTAATACAGACAAGTGTTTTACTTAAAAAAACATTGCTGTTTATGCCAACTGCTTGTATGTCATCCACGAGGCAAGATTTTTTTTTTGAAACATAAAAATATGTGTATATATGTATAGTTTTTTATTTTATTTTTACTCAATCAAATAGAAAGTTTTTTGTTTTTTTTTAATTTTTATTTCTTTATATTTAAATCTAACCTCTATGATTCCACACTTGTGTGGTTTGTCAGGTTTTTATAATTATAATTTCTTATTTAAATAAGACATAAAAAAGTTGAGGCTGAACTCCTTTTCTAGAGTTAACTTTTCCAGATCAGGAATTGTTTTTATATAAGAATAACATAAGATTTACAAGCTCTTTTTATCCTTAAATTAGGGGGTTTATATTTAGGAGTTTATATTTAGGAGTTTATATTTAGGAGGAATTAAATTAGGGGGTTTATATTTAGGAGTTTTTTGTTTTCTTACATAAGTTCTCTTCAAGTTCGTTGTTAAGAAGCTTCATTCCTCTCACAATTTTTTATCTTTTATAATAATATCTTTATATTATTAACTTCTTTAATTTTTTAGCGCATATATAATGTTAGTTTGTTAAATTACTAAGGCTATTTATTTAGAGAGAGTGGCCAAGAATTTAGGAACATTAGCAGTTATTCCTGCATCAAACTCAGTCCCTCTGCACAATTTTACATTTGAGTTGGGTTTAGCTATAAGTGATATTGGTAAGAATTTTATACAAGAAAATTATTTAACATAAATGTTTATATTTATAAGCGTATAGATCTTAAAACTATAATCATATATAATGTATTCAACATATAAAAATTAGGTTCTACTCTTGTTTTGACAAGTGATGTCATCAAACAAAGATTGGGCAATGCTGTTTTAGAAAAGTAAGAGTTTTAATTTCTTTAAATGCTTGCACATATTTTTAAAGATATTTCATAGATTGAAAATAAAAAAGATGAATTTTTAAAGTAAGGCAATCCCAAAAAGAGCTTTTTGAAAGTTACAAAACCACTTTTTTAATTATGGCTTTTGGTGTCTGAAAGCTTTAAATGTTTTAAGAGGTTTCTGAACTACCCTGAGCTTTAAATGTTTTAAGAGGTTTCTGAACTACCCTGAGAAAAAAATCAAAACACTTAGAGTACACTAGAGTACAGGTTCTTAACAATTTTGAATCCAGAATCCTTATCCAAAGGTTCTAGCTTAAAAAATAATTGATTGTCAATTTTTTAAGCCTTCTGTATTTTTTTGCCACGTAGTCCAATATTCTCTAACACATTAAGAGCTCTAGGATGCCACTTTTTAAATGGTTTCTTTTTTTTAAACATCCCTGGTATAAGGATTAAGAGAAAAAGTTAAACAAGTTGAAAAAAAAAGGTCTATGTGTAAAGATGTAAAGAAATGTTAAGGTGTACCTTAATAGTAAAATCTTAATGTGATCAGGTGATCATATTTATATTTTTCAATTACTTTACACCTTAGCAGTATAGATGAAGACAATATATCTACTTGGTTTTCTTCTGTTGCTAATGTTGAGATATAATAAAATTGATATATTTGGGTAACAAGTCCCTGTCTGATTTTGCTGTAAAAAAAATTGAACTTTTTACAAATGAAGGTTTTATATTTTAATTTTTTTATTTTTATTTTGCTAAGTTAAATTTTTTAGAAATTTAACTTAGCAATCATTTTTTAACTAGAAAAAAGTATGTATTGGAGCAGAGAGGTTTTAGCAAGGATGTTGATTCCTTTTTAGAAGGAATGAGTCTCTTTGAGGATTAGAGAGGGTATAGTAATCATTTTCATGAAGTTTTATAGAATTAGTTTTAATAAAATCTGGTAAAATAAAATAGAGAACAAATAGTAAACAAAAGTAAAAAAGAAAACAGGGATTGCAAATTCTTAGCGATAAATTTTTTCTATTTTTTTTGCAATTTATTCAGACAGTTGATCTAAATTGCTGTTGTTATTGTTAAGTTTATTGATAACTCTTTTTTTTGATATATTTTTCAATTATAAGAAAAAGCATAGCAGTTATTATAAGAAAAAAAGTATAGCAGTTATATTATAAGAAAAAGCATAGCAGTTATTATAAGAAAAAAGCATAGCAGTTATTATAAGAAAAAAACATAGCAGTTATTATAAGAAAAAGCATAGCAGTTATTATAAGAAAAAGCATAGCAGTTATTATAAGAAAAAAGCACAGCAGTTATTGTAAGAAAAAGCATAGCAGTTATTATAAGAAAAAGCATAGCAGTTATTATAAGAAAAAGCATAGCAGATATTATAAGAAAAAGCATAGACTCTAACTAATATTTTTAACTTTTTTTAAATAAATTACTTTAACAATTACTAAATGTTGTAATGTATAAATTTATTGTTATAATCTAAAAATTACCAAAAGCTGTAATCTTTGTTGTTTTTTTTATTCATCAAATCTTCTTTAAAATAATATTGTACATTTTTTCAGTAGAACAAAACTTTTTAATAATAACCTACATAATAATCTTGTGCAATGTTTGCATTGTGCCTCATCTTTTTTTCTTTTTGAGATCAAAATAACTCCAAATCTTTAGAGTTTTAGAATTTATTTTTCAAAATTGACTCAATGTTCTTAATGTGCTGTGATTAAGTTCAACATGGTCTGAAAAACAAAAAATTGCAAGTTCAGTGAGAAAGTTCAAAGATGTCTAATTGATCCTGGAAAAAATTTCCGGGGACTCCTGGACTTTGAATAATTATTTTCCTAGAAACATTTCCCAATAAAGAACAAAAATTAAACAATCAGTATATCCATTTTAAAAAATTGAAATTTAAAATTCTTAAATTGATTGAACAAATGTATTTTAAGTAAAATTTGAGTAAAAGTTTTATATTTTCAGTATTCATGAATGCAATCTATCCAATTGGCTTTCACATCAAGAAGATATCCATAGAATTGTTGTATATCAAGCAGATATGACAATGACAGAATGGACTAAAAGATGCATTAGGCAGGCAGATGCAATAATGATTGTTGGAAGAGTTGATGAAGATCCTCAAGTTGGAAAG